CTCTCCACTTCATTTTCTTCTCCCACTGGTAACGTCTAAGCTACTTTCTGTCTTGGTCTATTTGCCTGTTCCACATCTCATGGAAGTGGATTGATCATGTAATATTTGTTCTTTTGTATCTGGCTTATTTCACTTAGCTCAGTGTTTCAGAGTTCATCCATGTTGTAGCAGGTGTCATAATGTCACTTTTTTATGGTTGAGTGAAATATGCCATTTAAGGGTATACCATGACCTTTTAAAATGAAATGGTAATAGAGGGTATCCTTTCTTTTATAGATGGCATTATTTGAAAATTAATAGTTGTTCTTTTTTTTTTTTTTTTTTTTTTTTGGCACCATCTCAAAGGATTTGTAACATTGATTCACTTAGGCTCAACTGAATTGCTTCCTGACAACTGTCTTTTCATTTATAACTCTGGGAAACATGGAATTTTCAATCAAGACAAATATCTTATTTTTCATTATATTTGGTACTAGAGGTTTCCCAGGAAGTGAAAGGATGCTTTTCTAATGTGATGCAATGATAAGAGACAGGGAGAAAGGTTTGCTTTACAGTCAAATAAACAGAGGAATATTGGAAACAGTGAGAACATGGACCAATTAGGTGAGCTAAGTAGTGAGTAGTTTGACTCCCAAAGCATACTCTGTTCCCTAGTGTTCCTACGTGTAGGCTTGGACTGTGATATTTTTACTTAGTAGGCCAGGGCTTTCATCATGTAGTGTACCACATCTATGTGTATTAGTGTTAACTCACATGTTAACTCACGTTAGTCACTTAGGTCTACTTGGAAAATGACTACTAGCTTTTTAAATTCTCCATGATTTTCCTATAGTGGATTCTAAGTCTTTTTCTTCCTGCTGCTCAGAATCCTTGGAATACCTTTGTCTAGAACTAAGGACTTAAATATTTAACAAAGAATAAGAATATACAGTGCAGGGGACTAGCAGATGGCATAATAGTTATGTTGTTGGACTCTCACATAGTCGACTGTGGCTTGAGTTCCAGACCCAGTGACTTAAAACTCACACTGGGTGTGCATACATGCGTGCCCAATATCCCAAGAGGAGAATGGAGGAGAAGGGATTGTGGTATGACTACCCCCTCAAAGGGGGCTGATTTCTTGCTTTGTCTCTCTGGTGAGCACATGTGTCCCATAACAAAGACCTCTCAAAAAAAATTAATAAACAGTGCAGTATGTGTTTATAGTCACTTAAGAATTCACAGGATCCAGCAGTTAGCATAATGGCTATGTTGCTGGACTCCCACGTAGTTGACCGCGGTTCACGTCCCGGACCTGGTGGCTTAAAACTCACTCCGGGCGCGTGTGCATGCATGCCCAAGATCCCGAGAGGAGAATGGAGGAGAGGGGATTGCGAGAGCACACGCCCTATAGCGAAAATCCCCCCCCCCCAAAAAAAAGAATTCATAGTGCAGTATGTGACGTGTTTATAATCACTTACTGAAAAGGTGGTGTCAGGAAAGTTTGCCCAACCATACAGGATTTACCATCTCCATATTCCTGGAGCTTTTGGAGCAGTGGAAGGCTCTGCTAAATTGGGGCAGTATCATATTGCAGGTGTGGATTGTGATTCCAGAGGAGATAGAAATGGATGAGGAAATTAGAGTATTTTTATAGGATATACAGGATGTCCCATTAGAATTAATCTAATTCAAGTCCAAGAATTCCCATTATGAATCCAGAGTATTTTCTTCTATACCATGGGAAGAGGCTAGTGGGAGTGACCTGGTGAAAGGGTGGTAAGGTTGGCTTTGATCTGTGTAATGAGATAACACTTAAAGGCTCTATTCTGGGGGCTGAGTTAACCTGAATTTCAACTGTCAGAGCAAGGAAGCTACATTTTATTTTTATTTATTTATTTTTTGTCAATATTATATGTTTCTCCTCATACAAAAATTATTATTAATTGGGAAATTTTAATTTCTTTTTTGATATTTTACTGCTGGGGAAAATGGGAAGATTTTGAATTTTAAAATAAATACTTTTATTGTGATTATAATGTGTTAGAGATTTTTATAGTCAACTTCCAACTCTCAGGGGTTTCTAAAGTCTCTTCCTTGTCTGTTCATGTGATAAGATATTTATAGCTCAACTAAATGCATTGGTTCCTTCTTGAAACTCTACTTTATATAATAATACTTCTTCAGGCTCATTCAGACTCTAAAAGAACCCAGTAAGAAATTATTTTGTATCACTTCAAGTTACATAGGCTCTGTGTAATTGAGAAAATAGTATAATAAAGAAAAACTAGTCTAATTTCTAATTGTTCCTTCATAAAGCTCTCTATTGGATCATTTATATGACTTGGGGAGAAGGCTGTCTGTTTTGATCAAGGTAAGAGTCTGGGTAAGGGTAAGGGTTAAATGGAGAAAGAATAGCAAGCATATGATTACTGAGTGCCGAGTGTGTGCCTAGCACCTTATAAATACTGGTTCACTTTCTTTCCAGTAACCCTAGAATGTAGACATGTCTTTATTTTATAGATGAAGACATTAGGATCAGAGAATCACACATGTGATTCTGAGCCCCTGAGGATTTCATAATACACAGAGTGGTCTTACATTACTAGAAATGTTCATGACAGACATACCTATATCTGTTTTTCACAGTTACTAGGGTGTCTTGTTGAAGTATGATTGTATTAGCTAGGCTCTTTGAACTTTCTTTTTCCATACATTTTAAGGATATGTTGAAGAGGGTTTGAGAGGGTTTTTCTCTGCTACCAGGACTGGTGCCCCTCCACGTTTTGCTTTGTACCTTGGCACACTTTTCTATATACACTTATCTACTTATTTTATTATAATGTAAGCTTCATGAGATCAGGAATTTTATTCTGTCAAGCTCCTAAAAGAAGGCCTGGTACATAGTAGGGACTCATTAATATTTGAGTAATGAGTTTGATAATGAAGGCATTTCCAGAAGTCTCCTAAGAGATGGAAACTTAGATATCAGCATGGCTCTTGAGTAAAGAACAAAACCAAAAGAGAGATTATTCACATAAAGAGAAATGTGAAAGAGTGAATGGATCTGGAGAATAAAGGAAAACCAAAGAGGATAAAAGGAATAGAGCCACTCATCCAAAAGTTCTCTTCAATTCACTACACAAGAAAACTAGTCTTGGGCCAGCAGATGATGCAGTGGTTAAGGTGCTGGACTCCCACATGGACAATTATGATTTGAGTCCCAGACCTGGTGGCTTGAAAAAATCACACCTGGTGTGTGTGTGTTCATGTGTCCAGGATCCCAGGAGAATGAAGAAAAGGAACTGTGGCATGGCCATTCCCTGGGGGTTTCTCATTCTTGCTCTTTGTCTCTCTTTGGTGAGTACACACACCCTGTGGCAAAAAACTAAAATAAAAAAGAAGAAAAAGAAAATTTGTCCTGTGTTTTATACATCAAAATGTTTGATATGCCATCTTTTCCATTTAGTAGTTAAACAAAAAAGGAATTTAAAAATTCAAATCAGAGATGTAGCTGCTGTCCTATTTAAGCAGCAATCAAAAGAGAGCCCCAAATAAGTTTTCCTATACAGCTGGTCTTCTGTGTCTGATTTTGACACTTGGTGGAAGGAGAGTCAAAAAAAAAAAAGTTAGTATAGAGGTAGATGCACCTGATTCTTGTCCTGACCCTAAGCATAACTGAGTTGACCAGCAGAACCCAAACCTAGAGGAAACCTATACCATTGCTGGGTTCTATGGCACTATTCATGTACAAGACACACACACACACACACACACACAAATTTCTGCTAAGATAGAGTGAAGTGGGACCACACTGACAATGATGGATAATGAGGGCTACCTGGAGGCCTTACTGAATCTCATAAACATACCCTACTGTGGAGGTGTGAGGGGTAAGGGCACAAGTGAGCTGTAGAACTGACCTAGAACTCTTCGCTGGGGTCTTCTTGTGGTGTGGTGACATTCCTGAAGCTGGCAGTGATTAAGACCTGTCTTTTCAAGGCAGGGCTCAGCCTTGGAGCGGTGATTAGCAGCATGCAAAGAGCAGGCCACACCAGGTCTTAGCTCCTCCTCCATTTTCAGGCTTCTGGGTCATGGAACTTGTTTCCTATCTCACAGTTTAAAGTCCTTGAGAATTCCAATAGCATGCAAAGTTCAGGGACCCAAGGAGAATCCTTTTTCCTTGTCTTCTTTAGGGAGTAAATCTGAGGCGTGGGTACAATTCTTATTATACAAAGTCGAGTAAACAAATTCTCTTCACACAGTTTAGGGCTCTATGAGCAGAGTTTGCATAATCAGGGCAAGAAAGCATTTAAGAGCCATTTACACATTCACCAAATGTTTATTGTGTATCTCCCATCTGCCTGGCATGCTTCTAGATGCGTAGAATACAGCACAGACAAAAAAGATAGAAATTCCTGCCTTCATGGAACATGTATTCTCTCAGAGAAAAAAAAATTCCGTCAGAAAGAAAGCAATTTTAGATGTCATATGCTCTGCTCTGTTTTCTCAAAAACTAAAGGATTCCATAGCTATACCACTTGTGGTATATGTCCCCAGGAAATGTCCACATATGTACAAGAGTTTGGAACAGTGAAGTTCCCGGAAATGTGTTCATGATAGGGAAAACTGGCACCAGAGAAAAGGATTGGCGCTAGAGAAAAAGATAAATAATTGCGGTCTGTTTATTTCATGGCACTCAAGCGTAATGGTTTAGTGTGCAGTTCTAAGGTCAGAAGCGTACCACTCACTGGTCTCAATTACATCATCTCTAACATGGGGCTAATGATGTACTTATTTCCCAGGTTTATTTGAGCATTACATGAGAAATATAAAGTCATCAGAATAGTGTTTGGTACCCCAAAAGCACTTGGCTATGTTTTTATATTGCTGGTAATAGAGTACTGTAAGCAATTAAAAGGAATAGCCTGTGTATGTCAACCTGAAGAGATCTTTAAAAATGTAATGCTCATTTATTTTTTTCATTCAACAAATATTTATTGAGTGTCTGCTTGTTCCAGGCAGTGTTCTAAGTACTTGGGAATCATCATTGAACAAAACAAAGATCCTGCTCTTGTGGACCTTGTATTCCAGAGGTAGGGAAACATAAAATATAAGGAAATTATATATTCTGTCAGGAGACAATAAGTGCTGTGGAAAAGGGAGAGGTGAAGCATAATAAAAGTGTTTGGGAATACCAGAGTTAAAGTGGAAGGTTGGTTGACTATTCAGGCCAAAAATCCCCCCAAAAAGCAAATAATGAGAAAAAGTTAATGATTATCAAGTCTAGATAGTGGGTATGCAAGTGTTTGTTATATTGTTTCTTTTGCTTTCTCTACATTAAATTTTTTTCTCAAAAATTTCTTTCAGATAAAAATGATAAGGAGTCTGAAATATGAAGAAAGCTAAGAAAAATATTACATATTTATAATAAATATACATATAGAGATCTATATTATAAAAAGAATCTAAAGTAATGTTGAAGCATTAATTAAATAACTTTTCTTCCTTAGCAATCCTATTTTGTTGGGTATGGCAATGCCAACTACAAAAATAAGGTTTTTAAGGGTCCCATGTTTCTTGCTATGTAAGATATGAATGTGAAGGCTTGAACTATAGTGGCATCCCGTGCCCTCTAGGAGGCCTCCTTAAAAATGGAAGCCACTGATAAGAAAGATGGTAGACCACTGGGTCCATGTTGATCATGGAGTTGTGCTATCAGTCCTGGATTCTGCCTCTGGATTCCTTACATGTGAGATATATAAATCTTAATTCTATTTAAGCCATTATTACCTTGGGTTTCTGTTTAATGCAATTGAATCTGCTTTTAACTGAACCAAATTTGAACTATAAATGTCTGTATAAAAAAGAATGTAATCCAGTAACTTTTACTTAGCCAAGCGGCTGATGGTAAAGACAACGGAAGGGCTTTCTCAGATCTAAAACACCTGTCAAAGTACTGTATTATATATAACGCCCATATGCCCTGACTCTGCATAGACCCCGAGTAAAATTCTGGCAGCACCATATCTAAGCTGTGTAAACCTGAGCCAGTTATTTAAGCTCCTACAAAAAAATTATTTACTTTACAAAATTGTTGTAAGGGGTAAGAAGAGATAATATGTACAAAGTCCTTGGTTCAGTGCTTAGCATACTTGCAAAATAAAGAAAACTTACTGGAATAATCAACTTTAGCCATGAGAGGAATCAATGATAATGAGGGGATGTCCTTTTATTTGACACTATTAAGAAGGGTCTTTCCAACAAAATAAGACAAAAAAAATTAAAATTTTAAAATTTACAAAGGAAAGATTCTCAACTACTAAATATAGCCAAGGGGACCAGCAGTTGGTGTAATGGCTAAATATAGTCAAGAAGATAAGAAAATACTGGAAAAGAAGATTCCAGATGAGGAAGAATTACACATCAAGCTTAGTGGAAGAAAATAGAAATTTCAACAACAGGCCTAATAATGTGTGTGTAATCACTTAGTATATCATAAAAAGTATTTCAAAACAATGAAGAATGAATGAATTATTGTCAATGCTGTGGAATACCAGGTTACCATGTGGAAAATAAGTTAGATCCATGACAATATCATATACCAACATAAAATTTTAGATTAATTGAAGAAGAAAATGTAATAAAACATAGCTATATTTACATAATCTTGGGGTGGGAAAGACTTTTCCAAATATACCAACTGCATAAATCTGAAAATAAAAAATGAATACATGTGATTAGACACAATTTTTTTTTAAATTAGAGGTTTAAAAACATTAGTCCTTATAAACAAAATTTAAAAATAATTACTGTACCCACTAAGAAGCTGACATTCAGTAAGAAAGATACACCTCCCAATAAGAAGGCTTCATTGGGGGCAGCAGGTGGCATAGTGGTTAAGGTGCTGGACTCCCACTAGGTTGACTGCAGTTCAAGTCCTGGACCTGGTGGCTTGAAACTTATACCAGGCATTAATGGAGAATGGAGGAGAAGAGATTGCAGTGTGGCCATTCTCCTGGGGCGGGTGATTTCCCTCTTTCGGTTTCTCTCTCTGGCAAGTGCATGTGCCATATAGCAAAAATCCTCTCCCTCTCTCTCAAAAAAAAAAAAAAAAAAAAGGCAGCAGCTTTATTAACAGTCAAAGGACATGAAAATGCAGTTCACAAAATGATATCTGTAAATGACCAATAAAATAATAAATAATAAAAAATATTTAATCTTGTTAGTAATCAAAGAACATGAGAACAAACTAAATGCTCAACCATGAAGTCTTGGTTAAATAAATTATGTTATATCCATATGAATAAGTATAAGTAAGGCATGTCATTAAAAGTAATGCTACAGGAGAATAGTTCATCAGATAGAAAATAATTTCCTATGAAAAAAGTTTGGTTAAAAACTTGGTGTGGGACCAGCAGTTAGTGTAATGACTATGTCACTGGACTCCCACGTAGTTGACCACAGTTTGCGTCCCGGACCCGGTGGCTTAAAACTCACGCCGGGCGCGTGTGTGTGCATGCCCAAGATCCCGAGAGGAGAATGGAGGAGAAAGGATTGTGGCGTGGCCATCCCCCCTGGGGGGTGACTTCTCGCTTTCTGTCTCTCTTTCTGGCGAGCGCACGCGCCCTATAGCAAAAACCTCTTTTAACAAAAAAAACTTGGTGTGCTCTGGGCCATTCCTATAACCTGATGTTAAAAGAATTAGATCTCTGGGACCAGTAGTTAGCGTAATGGCTATGTCGCTGGACTCCCACGTAGTCGACCTCAGTTCGTGTCCCAGACCCGGTGGCTTAAACTCACGCCAGGCGCATGTGCGTGCGTGCCCAAGATCCCAAGAGGAGAATGGAGGAGAATCCCCCCTGGGGGGTGATTTCTCGCTTTCTGTCTCTCTGTCTCTCTCAATATGCCTACATTTTTCAAGGGATGGCAGTGTGATGATACCTCCACTGTAGGATGCTTTCTCCTTCTCCCTCTCCCTCTCTCTGTTTTTTCTGTTTCTTTCTCTGGAAGGCTCATGTTCCCTTTGACATCTATAAAAAGAAAAACAAAATTTGGTATGCTGTACATTATGTTCTTGTTTTTAGGTAACAAAGATAAAGAGAAATTACACACACACACACACACACACACACACAGACATACATGCATATATCTCAATCTTGAAAGAAGACCAAAATGCTAATAATAATTATTTTTATATGGGGAAATACAGGTTTTTTTAATTATTATTTTTTTAAGCTTTTTGCAGGAGGATGTATGTGCTCCCTGGAGAGAGACAGAAGAAGGAAAGTGAGAAACCACCCCTTAATGGGATGGCCACACCACAATCCCTTCTTCTCTATTCTCCTGTCAGGATGTTGGGCTTCTCCTTTATTGAACTTTACTATTTCAAAATTTTCTTTAGTGAATATATATGAGTATTTTTGCTGATGAAAGGGATAAACAATATTTTCGATGTTTGTGTAGATACACACAGGAGCCAGTTTGAAGAAGTAACTGCTGGCAAAATTTGAGCATCCTAAATAACAACGATAAAATAAAAAAGAATTTACAGAATGAGAAAAATCAGTATTCTGTGATTCTTAATGTAATAACTGATTTAGGCAGTAATCAGAGGAATAGATGTAAGGACCTTTGAGTAAAAAGTTGTTGAACAGGATGACTACCCAGAGACGCAGTTTTACCCGCACACATTAATTAATGTTACCAAGGAAACAGTGTGCCTGTACAATGGCGAGATCTGGTAGGCCAGGTCTGACTTGCCTTTTAGCAAAGGGACAAAACTTAGTACGATGGGTCATACTGTCATATGCAATCAGAAGTACACAAACATCACTTTTTCTTTCCTTCCCAAAATGGTTAACCTGGATCTAATTGCAAGGGAACAATCAGACAAACCCAGTATATGGGTTTAGCTACAATAGATAAACCCAAAGCACCTGAGGACAGTTCTAGATTAAGACACTAATGAGGGCCCAGCTATGGGTGTTGTGCACTGCTAAAATGAATTCTGAAGTCTGCAGCCACATGGAAGGCCTAGGTTCAATTCTTGATCCAGTCTGAAGGCTGGACACGCTTGTAATCCCAGTTACTTAAGGAGACCAAGGCAAGAGAATTGTGAGCTTAAGGCTGGCATGAGCAACACAGTGAGCCCAGACCTTTCCAAATAAATAAGTCAGTACAGAACTGAGTATGGCTCAGCTGGAGAGTTTGGAGGCTTTTCACAGGGAGACACTGCTTGAAGGAAAGAAAAAACTAATGAGACATTGTAACCAAATATAATACTTGAAACCTATGATAGATATTTTTCAGACTACTGAGAAAATTAAAAGCATTTAAAATTTAAACTTTAACATTAGCTATTATGAAAAGGTTTTTAAGATGTGATAATGGTATTATACTTATGTAAGAGATGGTTCTTAGAAGATACTTGGGAACCAGCAGTTAGCGTAATGGCTATGTCGCTGGACTCCCACGTAGTCGACCGCGGTTCGTGTCCCGGACCCGGTGGCTTAAAACTCACGCCGGGTGCATGTGCGTGCGTGCCCAAGATCCCGAGAGGAGAATGGAGGAGAAGGGATTGCGGCGTGACCATCCCCCCTGGGGGGTGATTTCTCGCTTTCTGTCTCTATGTCTCTCTCTGTCTGTCTGGCGAGCGCACGCGCCCTACAGTGAAAATCTCTCCAAAAAAAAAAAAAAAAAAAAAGAAGATACTTGACAATGAAGTTAGGAACAAAGTGTCATGATCTCTGCAACTTATTTTTATATGGTTCATCAAAAATATAAGTCTGAGAGACATGAAATAAATGAGGCAAATTGTTAACATGTGATAATTATATATGGCGGGGAAAAAGGGTTGGTTAT